CTATTCTGGGACTGCTCCATCTGCATGCGCCTCCTCCGTGGCAGCCAGCAGAACCTGGCACAGTCCCGAAACCCTCCGTGTTGTCCACGGCCTCAGAGGGAGGGACTGGGACAGTCCCAGCTTGCCAAAGGAAGAAGAAACGAAGAGGAGGTCGCTTCCAGAGCCTGGGGTCCCCTACCTCCTGTGAATGTTGAAGAGCCTGGGTGCTGCCAGCCCCTTGCCAACTGTAGACAGCAAAGGCCATTTGAGGGCCCCTTGGGGAGGCACCACTGGCACCGACTTGGGCTCTTCTGAGGGAGAACTGTCCGATCCCTTACAGAACCTGCAAGGTGGTGAGGGTCGGTTTACACTGTGACAGGCATTGGCCTCCTGCCAGGGAGCAGGCCATAGACCAAGTGGGTGCCACCCTTCTTGGAGGTCTACCACCAGCAGAGGAGGGACAGAGTGTACCCCACCTCCACCAAGCAGCCCAGGGAAGAGGCCGGGAAGGACTGGGACTTTCAGGGAGTACACCAGGGAGCTGCTCTCAGCAGCCAATGGTCCTTCCTCTCTGTCCAGCCCCAGGAGGACAGGCCAGGAAGGACCAGGCAGCCACTGTCTCCCGACTCAGCTGCCCCTTGATGGAAGGTGACGCTGCCTCTGCTGTCATCAGTTCAAAAGTGGTGGCTTTGCATGGCCTAGAGTAGGCTCAGATCCTGTCCTTGGCAGGGCGTCCCCTAGGCACTAGTCTCAGTGACAGAGCCCAAGACAGAGCCAGGCTGCAGTCCCAGACAGACCCAGCACCACCTCCCCACCTATGAGGGGAACCCCAGGCTGAGGCTTTTCCTGCCTCACACACACACACACATTCTCTCTCTCTTTCTCTCTCTCTCTCTCACTCTCAGAGCTCCTCAAAAGGCAGCGGAGGTTCTCGGGGTGATGGAGCCCTGTGGCCCTGAGACCTGGCTCCTTCCTTTTCTGATTTCTTGGTTTTTGGGGTTTTTTGGTACCAGGAATGGAACTCTGGGTCTCATACTTGCCAGACAGGCACTGCACCACTGAGCTAAATCCCCAGCCCCTCCCTCTCTGATTTCTGAGTTTGGAAGACGGTAGCCTCTGGATCAGAACAGGGGACAGCAGTACCCTGGCCTCACAAGCTCTCCTAGACCCTGGCAATAGCCGGGGGACCCTAGGAGACCCTTCCACTGGTAACACCCACAAGACCACTTCAGCAGCACTCTGAATCACCTCCAAGGAAATGCCTGCTCCCAGCGTGTGCAGTCACAGAGAGGAGAAGCACATTCCATCTCGTCTACAGGGTAACAGGACCTGCACAGGTGGCCTGCCCTCCCTGGCCTGTGGGGTTGATGAGGTCACCCTGAGCCCCACCCCACCTTATCTTCTTCCTCTGAAGCAGGCAGGATGACAGCTCAGGCCCCAGGCCATCCTGCTCATTTCCTGGCCTGCCTGAACTGGGAATAAGGAGCCACAAGCACTGCCCGACACCGAGGACCAGGAGCACAGTCTGGGCCACGAGGCCTCCCTCTAGCCCTCTCACCCTCCTGGTGGGCACCCCGGGGTCCTTCGCACCCTGTGAAGCCCAGTGGCTGAACACAGGAAGAGCCCTCTACCCACGCTGAGGCCTGTCCTTCTGCACCAGCCACCAAGGGCCAGAGGGGTTGGGTGGGACAAGAGTAAGCAGTGGCTGGAGGGGCTGGTGTCCTCAGGAACAAGAGGTGTGAACACATGGTACAGCCAAAGCCCATGTGACCAGAGGAAGTGAAAGGCTGGCCAGGAGGAGGAAGCTGCAGCAAAGGCAATGAGAACACAGGAGGTGCTGGCCCAGAGGCAGGAGGCCAGGCCTGTGAGCTGGGGAAGCCCTGTGGTGGGAGGGGCTCCTCATCCTACGAGCCTCAGTGAGAGGGTGCACCCCAGTGCCCCACCTGACCAGGCCTCTGGGGAACGGGAACACACACTTCCTCTGGGTCCCGACGCCATGAGAAGGGCGCTGCAGAAAGCAGCTGACCAGCCTCCTCCTCTGCATGGGAGCTGGCCACACCTCACATGTGTCACACTGTCCACGGGTTGCCAGGACCTGGGCAGGGCTGCGCAGCCACCCCTGGAGGAAGGGTCTCCCATAGGGGCCCCAGAGCTGCAGATTCGAGTGCGAGCACCAGGCTCCTCCTGCTCTTAAGCACAGGAAGCCTTAGGCAGGCCACAGTCCCCAAATCCCCCCAGGGAGAACTCAGCACTCCCCCACTGCCCCATCCCAGATCCAAGCATCACCAGATGCACACTGGAGAGAGAAAAGGCAGCCCTGCTGCTCCCAGCACCCCCACACCTCCACGCACAGCCACTGCTCCCAGCCAGCACCTTTTCCTGCAGCAGCCTGACCAGAGGCCAGCACCATAGGGCCAGGATAGGCTCTGTCCACAGCTGTGTCCCCGAGTCAGAGCCACCCTGGCACAGTGCAGGCGGCTTGCTGTGGCCACCCTCTGAGTGGGAACCCTGAAAGGGAGCACGCTCCTCTGTGCTCACAGGGCCTCAGAGGACCAAGACAGCTTCCCTGGGAGCAGCTCAGAGGAGTCTACGCAAGAGAATGAAACCATCCAGGGGAACTTCTCCCGCAAGCAGCAAGGCACCAACTTAGACACAGCAAAGAAGAGCCCCTTTGGGGTGTCTACACAGACTCTTTTCCTGGAAAAAGGTGACACTGCAGGTCAACCAAGTCCCAGGGGGAGCAGGAGCCAAGAGGGAAGGAACCAGCTCGGCCAGGGGCAGGGAGGCCCCAGCCACACACCGTCTGGGGCTGGCTCAGACTCCATCTGCTCTCAGCTCGGGACTGCGACGCTACAAGTAAGAATAACAGCTCGCAGCTAGCGGCAAAGCAACCAAGTAGGAGATCCTTTCTCCACCCAGAACCTCACCTCCCTGCAGGAAGGTACCCGGGCACCCTCTGCTGCCCAGCGCCCACCACTGCAGTTCCTGCCACCTACCACCTGCAGGCCTACACCCAGGCAGGCAGCAGCTAGGCTCAGAGCGTGACAGTGCAGAGGGACCTGGACTCTGGTGACAAACAAGGGCTGGGCGCAGTGAGAGGCAGGGGTCTCAGCTGTATCAGGCAGGGACAGAGCTCAGCGATGCCCAGGATAGGCTAGTCAGCCAGGCAAGAGCCAGGACCTAACCAGTGGCACCTCCTGGCCCTGCAGGTGCTCGATACTCAGCCTTGGCCTCTCAACTGACACTGAGACATGGGAAGAGCACCACACAGTGCTGGGGTGCAGCCGAGGCAGTGAAACTCCAGGACAGGGGCCAGCACAGGCCTTGGCAACCCCAGCCCTCCCAACCAAGGGACCATCTGTTACAGAGCCCACACACGGTCTCACTTGTCCGCTAGTCCCACCCAGGGGGCCCTCCTGGTGACAGCTTTGTCCAATGACTGCATCTTGAGGGCTCTGGCCCAGGACAGTGGCCACCTGAACCTTGGTGGTCACCTGGCCCCAGCTGCCCCGTGCGGCTCTAGTTCCCCCCTTTATGCTGCCCTCCAGGTGGGCCCCACCTGCCCCACCACACACACCACCACAAGGGCCCCTCCACACAGTCACAGCATGCGTCCCTCAAGCCACAGCTCCCTGGCCTTCCAGACCGAGCCTGAAGAGAGGCGGTGAGCTGCAAGCAAATGACATGAACTGCCCACCGCAAGCCCAGGCTGCCACCTACCCAAATCACCAAGGCTCCCATCACACACAGAGGGCGTCCGTGCCTCTGCCCCTCTGCAGACACCCATGTGGCTGCACCCTCTCAGCCTTGAGGTGAGTGTGAACTCCCCTCCCCGGCAGGGCAGCCCACGGGCTCCACAGTGCCATCATCTCGTCTAACATGTTCTTGCTCTTGAAAATGAAGAACAAGGGGCTGGAGGTTTAGCTCAGCAGCATAAAACACCTGCCTTGAAAGCAGGCAGTCATGAGTTCGATCCCTGGTACCGATAAAAAAAAAAAAAAAAAAGAAAATGAAGAACAAGTTCCCAGAGTACAGGGACAACCAGGATGATGGGCTGGGTGGACAAACGAGACCTGGCCCTGCTGCCGGGTGTGCAGGGTGTCTCAGAGTGGGCAGTGGCTAGCAAGAGCTCAGGTGCAGTTGCCCAGCATGGCATCCTGCTGTGGTCTTCACACCCTGCATGGCACTGCCTCAACACCCTCCTCTGTGACACAGGGGTACTCACCACCCCTCTTCCACACCTGTAAAGAGGCCCAGGCTGCAGAGCACCTGCACATGCCACGCTGCTGCAGCCTCGTGACCCTAGAGGCTGTGGGCACCTGCCAGCTCCGGGAGCAAGGCCTGCAATGTGAGGAGGCCAGATTCGGCATCTGGGCGCAGCCATAGTTAACCTTAACCTTAGGGCACAGCAGGCACCACCATCCATGACTGCACTGGAAATCATGAACCCAGGAGAGCCCGAATTGCAGGTGATGGCAAGGGCTATAGGTGACAGTGTCCAGCAGGCAGATCAGATAGGAGCCAGGCTGCACAGACAGCCCAGCCTTGGACTGGCTGACTACGGATTGGGCTGCATATCTCCCAGGGAGCACATCGGCCTCAGCCTTAGAGGGGCTCCTGACCACCTCAAGGCACCAGGTGAAACCCAAGAACATGGAATGTCTAGTTCCAGACAATGTGGTCAAAGCAAGTCACAGATTCAGCATCCCTACGTTGGAGGGCATATCAGGGCCTCACTGACCACTCCCAGCCCTGGCCCCTGCACCCACACCCCTGGGTGCTGTGCCAAGGCCCAGCGTAAGCTGTGCTCTGACAGCCACAGCCCAGCAGAGCCATGTAGATGCAGGTGAGGTGCACACCGCCTCCTAACAGCAGCAAAAGCACGGCACAGCACCACAGCAGATCCACAGGCCCGGACACAGCGAGTGCAGGGGCCTCAGTGCCAGGAAGCCAAAGGGATCAGCACAGCCCCCAGGCTGTGGTGCACCTTTAAACAGAAGGAAAAGCTGGCACAGACCAACCTCAAGGTCGTCGAGAGAACGGGTGATGCTGAACCTCTTGGATCTTCTGAAGGATCTTCGGGCAGAGCTGCGCTGGGATGTCTGTGCAAGTCCAATTCCTCGGCCAAATTTGGAGCCCTAAAGACAAAGGAAAACAGGTGTCAGGCCTCCACCTGAGGTCTCCGGTGCGCAGCCTTTGAAACAGAACAGGGAGACCAGAGTAGAAGCCACCTCAGAGGGAAGTTTATGTTAGACGGATTCAGGCAATAAAAAGTGCAAAGTGAAGAGCAGGAGTCACCCCAGCTACGGGCACCTGTTCTGACACTCACCCACTGTGCACCGGCTCCCAGCCCCACTGGAACCCCAAAGCCCAGCAGCAGCAGACTCGACCCACGTGGAAGCACGGGAAGGGTGACATGTGTCAAGGTGGGGGCTGCTCCTTGGCAAGGCCATCCTTTCCACAACTGTCTCTATCAGTGTTTCAGGAAACAAGAGCCCTGAATACCACCCTCGTGTCAGAATTCCAAATCAGCTCTGCCAAGAAGTGACTGGCCCAAGACACCATGTCCAGCTCCCCAGGCCATAGCAGCCAGCCCATCCAATGAGCTGCGTGTCTTAAGGTGAAGACTGAAAGCTGGTGAGCTGGGGCCCAGCATGTGAACCCCACCCTGTCCCAGACAAGGAGGTGATGTATTTACCCAGGGCTCTCAAGCTCTCTCTACCTACAGAGTGGTCTTGGGCATCGAGTGGGAACTTGCAGTGATTCCCTGACAGATCTAGGGCCAGACTCTGTCCCACGGACCTGCCTCTCACCCCACTGGTGACAGGAATGGCAAAGGAGCGACACCAACACTCCAGAGTTCCACACAGGCTGCCATGGTCCTCGCCACCCCAGTGCAGTGCATACCCACCCCCTCACTAATCTTTATCTCCCCCCTCCTCCTGCCAGTGACCCAGGCTGGCAGGCGTCACCAGGACCTCAGTCCCAGAGCTCTTATCTCTTGGGTCCACAGGCACAGCCTGACCCTGCACACACTCCCTGTCCTGCCCTGTTCTACATCGGCTGATGAAAAATGGTCACTGTGCTGAGACCTGCCCTCTAGGGACAGCATGTGCCAGCTCATGGTGACCCAAGCCAGGAGTGACACACAGAGGTGCCAGCACCGACCACCTCTCCCATGCCCAGTGCCACAGGGTAGAGAGCACTGCAATGGCTCCCTCCATGGAGAAAACCTAGAGGTGGGGCTCACCGGGAACCCAGAGCAGAGAAAGCTGGACTGTGGTGCCCCCCTAGTGTGCAGGGACTCATGGGAAAAGTGCTCCTCTGCACCACAGTCAGGCTCAGGGGCTCAAAGACTGTTCTCTGGAGCCCTCAGCAGATCTAGGGAGTATGTGAAGGGAGCCAGCTGGGGCTGGGGCGGCCAGGTCTCTGTGCAAGCCCAAGCTCAAGCCCAGGCACTGGTCCCAGGTGACAGTCAGGTGTGGTGTTCCTCTGGCTCTGGGTCAAGTCAGAGGAGTCATCAACGGGCAGCTCCTGACCACAGGTACCCTGGTCACCACCACAGGAGCTTTGCTGTGACACCCAAGACGTTGACTACATGCTGTGGTGGCACAGTCCAGCCACTCAGGTGGTACTCTGGATCCAGGCTTGGGTCCCCACCCTCTTGCCACACAGCCTACTTACCAGAGTGCCTCTCAGGGTCCCTTGCTAGCCACACTGCAGGTGACAGAGTGGGGAAACACTTGTCTAGGAAACATGTTTTGAAAACTAGGCCCAAAGCTGCTGTGGCTCCAAACTCTACCCAGTTCCTTTCCAGGCCCACCCCACCGGCCAGAGGTGCCCGAGTCCAGGGCTGGCCTCCTATGTCTCCCTGTTCACATCCTTGGGGTCCTGGCCTGAACCCATGACTCCCCTAGACTCCCTGTGTCCCTGAAACCCAGCATCCCCTCAGGCCCTGGTCTAGATGAGATTATGGATTCCTCTTCTTGTTGTCCTCCACACAGGGAACTGTGAGCTGAGCCAGAGGGACAGATAGAGTGAGAGCACAGAGCCCCAAGGAGACACAGGCTCCTCCCCACAATGGTCAGCGTCTACCTGCACCCAGGACTCGTGCTAGCCAAGAGCTAGTGAGGAGGTGCCCCGAAGGGCCTGCACGGCCACAGGGTGGAGCTGGAAGCCCAGATGGAGTTAAGTTCAGGACACACTCCCAACAGGGACCTAGGCAGTCTCCCATGACCAGAGCCAGTGCCAAGATTCACCTAAAATGCACCACTGCACGGGTCAGGCGTGCGCACTCACCTATTCTCCACAGGTGAGTAGCAAACCTGTGGCCTTGTGATCCCCAACGGACTGACTTTTAACACGTAGTCACTACATGGAGACCCTGCTCGGGCGGCATGGGGCTGCACCGCCAGCTGCTTTGCTCAGAACTTGCATCACGTCCCCACAGGAAGGAGAAAGGAAGCCGGACTCCCAGGCATGCGCAGACGCACTGAGAGGGCGCTGCGTAAGGAAGAGAAACATGCTCCCACAGAGAACAAAATCAACTGGAGGAAAAGGTGCAGTGATCCCAGTAACATGTGCCAAGGACGAACTTCAGCCTTTGTTTCTGAAACCCATGGTCCACTGCCCCCAGTGTACAGCAGAAAAGAGCATTGCATACTACTAGAGCCCCCTGCTGGTCTGACGTGAGTGCCAGGCAGCTGCAGGTGCAGGTGCCCTGACGGAGCAACAGCCCAGCTCCTCCGTTACACCTGCAAGTGAGAGGGGGCAGGCAGCAGGTCAGCAGCCTAACCCAAGCCCCCAGCTCTCTCTACTCCCACAGCAATGCACTCGAGTCACTGGGCCACGCAAGGCACAAAAACGCCAGGCACAGAAGTCACAGCCAGGCCTGCATATGGCCAGTCCACTTTGGAGAGACACTGCCTGCTCGGGGCTGTACCCAAGCTCCCAACGGACAGCCAGTCATCGGTGTGTCCCCTACAGAAGAGGCCCAGAAAGCAGTGGGACCCCATCTGACAGCTGGGAGAAGGTGGGCATAGAGCCTAATCTGCTGACCTCTGCGTGCTGCCCAGCACTGACCTCCTGATCACTCAGTCCCAACACCATGCTGCCTGCCCCCCAGGCACCAATGCAGGGCCAGAAATCACTGCAGCCAGGGCTCCAGCAAGATACCACCCAGGGAAGGTCATGCTCAAGGTCATGGGGGAGTGGGTCCTGGGTGAGCCCCGGCTAGTGTGCTACTCCCCCATAGAGTCTTTTTATCACATTTTCAAGTTTCTTTCATACCAAGCCACCCTGGGTCCTAACCAGCTGGACAGAGCTGCCCAGAGCTCACCCATCTCCAGAACTTCTGGCCTGCAGACTACAACTACAGATCAGGAAATGCACGCCCGGACCCTGGACATGCCCTCAGTGCAGCCTCTGAGTCTGAGGCTCTAGTGGACTAGACTCATACAGGACTGATCTTCAGGGTGCTGACTGACTGCCCTTGGCACAGGGTCCTCAAGATTCATCCCAGGTGCAGTAGGTCAGACTCGCCTTCCTGCAGAAGCTGAGCGACTCCCCGGTACACGGAGGTCATACCGCACTTTTCAGTCCCTCTGTTGACAGACACTAGGTCTCGCCAACGTGGGCGCTGTGGGTAATGCTGCTGGAACAGGCCTGAGTCCCTACCCTCTGACATTCGCCAATTCCAGGTGGTGGGCCACCTGGGTATGCAGCAACTCCGCTGACAACACTGTAAGGGCAGCCATACTGACTCCCAGGGTGGCGTGGCCAGCGGACCGCATGCCAGCAGCGCACAGAGCTCTGAGCATGACACACCCTCAGGACCCTGTCTAGCAGGGGGAAGAGGGAAGTTTCGCAGCATGGACACACACTGCCCCACAGCCACTGGAATCTTGCGTCTGGGTATCTTCCTGCGGAGATGTCCATGTACACCCTTTGCTCGTGTTTTAACCCGTCATCCACCTTTCCGTCCCTGAGGGTACAGCAGCTCCTTATGCTCTGGACACTGACCCACTTCAGATGCGTCACCCTTGTGTCCCTATCTTGTGACCTGCTGCCTCACCTTGTTGATCACACACTGCAGAAAAGTTTTAAATTTTGATGTAATGCATTATAGGTATTTCTCTTCTGTTGTCCGCACTGCTACAATTAAAAAGGCCCAGCCAATCAGTCTCTAGCCTAAACCACAGCAGGGAGGGCAGGAAGGCCAGGCTTGTCTGTCTGGGTCACCGCTCCCACCCTTCCCCAGGGCTTCTCCAGAGTAAGTCGTCCATATTACAAATACATGAAACTCTAAGCAAGAGGCAGTCTTAGGCCAGGCCCATGGCCCACCCCTATAATCCCTGCTACTCAGGAGGCTGAGGCAGAAGGCTCACAAGTTCAATGCCAATCTGAGCAATTTAACCAGACTTTGTCTCAAAATAAGAGGTGTAGGAGATGTGTAGCTCAGGGCTCCCCAGGTTCAATTCCAGCTCACAGAGAGAGACAGAGACAGAATTTAGGCCAGTCCAGAAGGCTTCCTGAGCAGCGACACACAGAATGGTGAGGATGAGCTAAGAGCTGGCTTCTCCTGTCACATGGAGCCACACCCACACAGGAGACAGATGCCACACGGCAGCTGGCTGAGAAAACCCAGCATGAAGAGGGGCTGACCCTGCTGGGGCACAGAGACCCAGAAAAGCCACAAAGAAGGTGGCAGCTGCCTGGGAAACCCAAGGAAGGTGGGATCACTGCTGCTCAGGGACTTGGAGAGACCCAGACCTCCCAGGGGCCACATCTGTGTCTCTGAGGGGGACGAGGAGGCCTGGGGCCCCCTTGGGATAGAGGACCAGCTCCCCAAGCACTCCCAGAGGCAGAGCCCCACAGCACCCAGCTGGGGAGCAACATACTTGGGCAGGACTATGCCAACCGAACTCCACACAGCAGGAAGAATTCCAAGTCCACATCAAGTGATTTCACAATCCCTAAAATTCCATCTCAGCTCAGATGTAAACGGGACAAACCGCAGAGGTGGCCGTGCACACTTTGTGTCAGCTGCTGAGGAAGCTGCTGTATCACCCTGCAGAGGGGACATAGGAAAGTCTGGGCTCCTGCTCCAGAGACAGAGTCAAGTCTGCAGGGAAGGACA